ATCGTATTATTGAGAAAAGGAGGAGAAAGAGGAGGAGGAAGAAGAGGAGGTGGAGGAGCACGATGGGGAAGGAGAAGGAGGAGAAGGAGGAGGAGGAGGAGGAGGAGGAAGAAGAGGAAGGTGAAGAATGAAATGGAGGAAAAAAGGAGGAGACCCGATTCGCCTATCACGTGAATGAATCTATCTATAGCTTTGCGGGGTGAAAGTTTTGAAGGGGAGGGTGTCGCGTTGATGTATTATTATTGCATGTCCTCTTGTCCTGTTCTATTCTGCCCTCCTTTTTTTCTCCCAAAGCTATCCATGACAGCAATATTCCTACATCAGTAGTAATATAGCAATAACCAATAACCAACCAACCAACCATTCAACCAACCAACCAACCGACCGACCCACCAACCGATCGACTCATCAACCAATCCCCTAAAAGCCAAACCCCATCAACATTTGCTGACAACGAAGGGATGTCCCATCTTGTCAACGCCATCATGCTGTTGTTCATCCAAAATTGTGGTGATAATGATGTACTAACGAGGCTTATCTATTCTTTTTTCTTTTTTTTTCGCTTTTTTTTCTTTTTTTACTGAAATTATTCATTCATTTTTTAAAAAAATAATTCCTTTTCTTCAATTTAATTCCTAGCTATAATATTTTATTGTTATATTTCTTAATTTATTGATTTCCTAAAAAAGATTTTTTTTTCTCGAAAAAAAAAGAAAAACTTTTTTTCATTCCGGAAAATATTCCAAGAATTTTTGGAAAAGAGAAAGAATAGAATAGAAAAAAAAACGGGAAATAAAAAAGAGGAATGAAAGAAAGGGAAAAGAGAAAAAAAGAAAAGATAGGAAAAAAAAGAAAATAGGGATTGAAAAGAAAAAAGACAAGAAAATAAAGTATAAAATTTTTGAAATTTGAATCCAATTAACACGACTTATACTATATATCTTTCATTCCATATCAGGTTATTATATTTGCGTGGGCGGAAACAGGAAAATTATTGTAATGGCAATTTGCGCTGGTTGTAATAATGCAATATTGGATCGTTATGTTTTCCATGTTCTCGAAAAAGCATGGCATGCAACATGCATTCAATGTGCAGATTGCAAAGCATTACTAAGTGAAACATGCTTTACTCGAAATGGTTTAATATTATGTCGGAAAGATTTTGCAAGGTAGGAAATAAATAAATAAATGAATGAATTATTTGTTTACTTAAATAAATAATAGTAGGAATAATTAATTGATTAATTTCTATATAGTCATATTGAAATTGCAATTAGCGTATTTAATATTATATTTTGTTTGGTAACTTTTACAAAAAAAAAATATATATATATATATATTCGCATTTATATATGAAAAAGATATTGAGAAAAACATATATGCATGTATACCTGTAAAACGATTTCAATTTTACATCATACTCGAGTAATTAATTAATTTCAAATTGTGTGGTGATAATTGAATTGTTTTTGAACTAAATTTAACAACCAATTGTAGAGGACTTGAAATAGAGCATAAATTAAGGTTTTAAAAGATTTTACACAATTAACAATTAAGGTTTAGCTTTAATTGTAGTAGGAATAGTAGCAATGACCAAAAAGGTATGTTCAGAAATTTGAATAATCATATTTTACGATAATTACTTTAGGTCGTTTACACTATCAATAATGACGTAAATATGTGTAATATGTATGTATGTGATAAATGAAGTTAATATATTTGATGATATCATTTTAAACTAATCTATTAAATCGAGGGAAAGAGAGGGAGAGAGAGAGAGAGAGAGAAGGAGAAGGGGGAAAAAAAAGGAAGGAAAGGATAAATTATGGATATGAAATTTGACAATATTTTGCTTTTTTTTTTAAACAACAAAACAAATAATGATAAAATACAAAAGAAGAAATGATAAAAAATAAGAAAAAAGTAGTAATAGAAATAAAAAAAAAAAAGCAAATAGTAATAAAATAAATTTTTATTGTTAAAAAAAAAAAAAAGCGATAAGAAAATTGATATATGGCTTAGATTTAAATTAAAATTTATCTAAATTTTGATAAATTTTAAATGATTTTAATTTTTTTTCTCTTTCAATACTTTATAGAAGAAATGATTAAAAATTTTTAATTAATTACGAAAAAAGTGATTTTTAATCCACAATATTTATTATTTATTTTGTGTGATATTTGAATGATAAAATTGAACTTTTAAAAGAAAAAAAGAAAAAATTTTAATGAAAAAATAAGAATGAATAGAAGAGAGAGAGAAAGAGAAAGAAAGAAAAGAAAAAGTATTTGAGTAGAATTTTATCAAAAAATTTGATAAGGATAGCGGATATAAAGTATATTTGCTTGTATAAAAGCTTTGCTAAAATTAATAGCAATAATAGTGAAAAGGAAGGAGGCAAAGATGAAAGAGATTTGAAATATGTAAAGATTTGGGGTTAATGGGAAATGGGAGAGAGCGGGGGTTATGGGAGGAAAAAGAGGCGGGAAAGAAAAT